TTCAACTCCCAGAATTCCCCAGCCAGCAAGGAGTTGAAGTCCACACATCTTCAAGCTGCCACGGTTGAGAAACACTGGACTACAGTATCCATCAGCCAACCCATGCCCAGCTTTCCTTGCTGGCAAGCCATGAGAAGGCCAACATGGATGATGGGTACTGCCTATCAGTGGGCCAGTAGGTGGATGTGAACCTGCTTTGTAATTAATCTAAGTGGTGACACAACCCATAACCAAGGAGTTTTCCACTGATAGTTGAATTAAATATCTTTTGGCATTATGGTTAGTATGTTGAATTTTTAATAATAATAATACTAAAAATAATAAACATAGTGTTTAAAAACAAAGTTCCTATATTAAATCTGCAGATTGCTCCCTTTCCCATACTTAACCCCAGTGAAATCAATAGTTTTAATCACTGGAGAGGCATGTGTCACGCAAATCCATTTATCACTTTAGGAAGTTGTGGCATGGTTGAGTTTGAGAATCCCTTGGTTAAGCCAAAACCAAGCAAATCACCTTCTGATTTACTGCAGTGTGTGAACACAGCCATTCCCTAAAAGAAGGACAAGCAGGGGTATCCACAGGGTACTAACGAATGTCAAGACAGCAGCTGCAGAATTTAAAATTTTGAAATAGCAAAAAGCTAATTTAAGACTTTGGTTTTAGAAAGTTATAAACAGATTAAGGGTCCAGATAAATTTGAAATAAGATTTTGAATTAATTATAAAGAATCCTTCCCATGGGAAAGTGGACTTTTTAATTTTTTCTAAGAAATAATAAAGATAAGCAATTTTAAAAATTGGATACTGAGGGAACTAAAGATTTTAATTAAAGGAGAAGACTATATAAACCTGATTAACAACTACAGAATGATGCAAAATATTATAACATTGAAAATACTGAAGGCCACTTTTGAAAAATGGAATCAGAAGTTAATATCAACAATGTCAACAGCAATGTTTGCTTCTATGGATAGACTGTGTCCAAAAGATGTTTTGGAAGAAATGACAGGAGAGGAACAAGTTTTGTCTAACAAGACAGAGACACAGTTGACAATGAAAGTGATCTACAAATGACAGACTACAAGAATAACATGGAAAAAGAAATTGGTTGATGCTTTAAAAACCAAAAGGGAATTACAAATAATAAGCCAAGAGAGTGACCTGAACAATTCTTATATACTGGATTTACAAAAGAGGTTTGTTAAAGCTTGGATGAATCTTGCAAAAAGGGGCAAAAAAGAAATGAGAAAAAAAAATCAAGTTCTATGACATTATTTGAATGGACTAAAGATTAAGATTGTTACAAGTAAAAGGAAGGAATATAAAGTTGGTTCATTTGATCAAGGTTAAAATAGATACGTTGTTATTTCTGGCAATCCTTAATGGACTTTTGCTGACACCAGGACTGAAATGATGATGCTTTATGGATTTGTTCATAGATAGAGATGGAATATAGGAAGAAGAGATCACTTGTAGTGATAAATTATTAAAATTCTATATACTCGTGATGAAGTTGGAAGTCCTTTTTTATATATTTTCTCTTTCTTTACTATATTCTTACCCTCCCTCCCTCCCTCTACATTTTTCTTTTTCTTTTCCTTTGCACTTTTTACTCTTTCTACTCTTTTTTTTTTTAGTACTAGTTTGTACTATTGCAATTATAATCTTTAATAAAATTATTTTTTTAAAAAATGGTAGCAGCTGCAATGACACAATTGAAGCCTCACCCCTTTTACATGCATCAGATAAAAGAGGTGGGGCTTCATTCACCCCCAGTCCAGGAGGCCATCTTAACTTTTTTGACCTCTGGGGATCAAATTCACATTTTAAGGAACAAGGCAAGAACAAGCCACGATATAGTTCAACCACTGTTGTCCCCCACTGCTTTTCCAATCTCCCTACTCTCTTATTCTTCCATGAAAAAACAATGCTGCAGACTTCAAAGCTTTAGCAGAGGCTGAAACTACTGCTAGAAAACCCTGCTTTTCTTTATTCCCATGAAATAGTTCTCCAAGGATTCAAGCAGAAAAGTATCCAATTGTTTTTAAGACAAATAAGGATACAGGCAGACATATTATTCCATGAATTTGGAACTTCTTGTGGTCTTTTATCACTCCAGGAATAGTACAAAAATGGAAGACCATTTGCTGGTTACAGTACCTGTGTGTGAAACAGTGGAGAAAAAACATTCTTTTAAAGCTCCATGTCTAAGATTTCTGGAAGGCGTTGGCCATTGTTAAACCCAGGATACTAGCTAGCTTTTATGGACTTTTGGTCTGACTCAGCAGGACTCACTGGGAGGACTGACAACTTTCGATGAGTGACCAGTGGGGTTAAGCATCACCTGAGAAGGACTCATAGATAAAGCTTTCAGCTCTGGCGGAAGTATTTGCTGCTGCTTTTCCTTTACAGGCATATTTCCTCTGATGGGGTCCAGCCAACCAGAGGAGACATGGTAGAACTTTGGGTTAAGGGGGTTCAAGCAGAGGCTAGACATCCGTCTGTCTGGGGTGCTCTAATCTGGATTCCTGTACTGGTCAGGAGGTAGCCTCAGAGCCCTAAATGGCCCCTTCTAACTCTATGATTTTGAATACAATAAATAACATTAAAGCAAAAAAGAAGATTGTCCCTGAGATTACAATTTCTTGGTTGTGTTTGATGGGATCTTGGTGAGGCAGACTAATCAGCAGATGGATTTTTTTCAAGGCATAGTAATCATCATCTCATTGCTCAAGCTCAAATCACAGCTAAAGGAGCCGCTGCAGCACATTGTTCTCTAGTCCACAACCTGTGGGTTCCTTTGATCTACGCTTGCCACCAAATAAAATGTGAATGTTGCAATTTGGAGCAGTGCTTTCTCTTTCTCAATGCCCCAAGTTGAAACTGTAGTTCATGTTTTATTAGAAACATTACATCCATTTCTTTTTAGCCTGAGTAAAGCCAGGATCAACCTTAATGGGAAGGTCTGAAGATTACCTTAAAACCCCCACTCTTATCTCTACCCTAAGTTCTAACCATGACCCTTCAGATGTTTGAGTGCTATATCTACAGACCAGGCCTGAAAAAAACCTATAGTCTATCACCATCAAAGCACCTGTAAGCCCCTTTTTAATTGTATTAGCTACAGATAGTCCTCAACCTACAACCATTTGCTCAGCGGCCATTTGAAGTTACATAGTACTGAATGAATGGTGGTTATGACCAGTCCTCAGAGTTACGGCCGTTGCAGTGCCCCTGTGGTCACGTGATTGCCATTTGCGACCTTCCTGGCTGGCTTCCCCAGAAGGTCAAGGGGGAAGCCGGCAGGGAAGGTT